TATATATTTTTAGTTGTCCAGCTAATTTCTTTCTAGTTTTTTTGGTAGAGATGGGGTCTCGCTCTTGCTCAGGCTGGTCTCAAACTCCCGAGCTCAAATGGTCCGCCCGCCTCGGCCTCCCAGAGTGCTGGGGTTACAGGCGTGAGCCACTGTGCCAGGGTATCAATTTTAAAAACATCTTAAATATAAATGGTTAAAATTTTTGTTTTTCTTATACAACTATTGCATGCTTATAATTGCAATATTAGAAAATACAGAAAAGAATAAAATAGTTACCATCTGTGATTATACCTCTGAATATGACCTTTATTTAAAATGCAAGTACAACTCTATATAATCCTCAAGACTGTTTCACAAATGACAAGTAAGAAAATCATAATTAAGTATATTAAACAAAATATTACATCCGTAGAATATATTTGCTGACATGGAGTCATTAAATCCTGTTCTCTTTCATATTAATGAAAGTATAGTCACACATTTCCAAACCATCGTCATGGGAATTGCTCAATTCAATATGAAATCCAGCACTTTTTCTATCTTTTGCAAACAGAGCCTGGCCTGATTGTTCTAGCTACAGAGTGAGAGCGAGAGGAGGAAGCTGTAGCCCCGTCCATTTGCAGATCTCAGACAAGAGGACTGGGCCAATGCTCACCTGGTAGATAGTGAGATCAAGCAGCTGATGGTCTCTTTTCTCCTCTGCTCTAGCCGTCGTTGGCCTGTGCCCGAGCCTCTGCTCTCTGCTTGAATTTCAACAGCATGCTGATCCTGCTTCCTGTGTGTCGCAATCTGCTGTCCTTCCTGAGGGGCACCTGCTCAGTGAGTCCCAAGCACTCCTAGGTCAACTTCCACATTAAAGCAAGAGACCCTGGAGTCCTCAGTAGGAAAGCCCAACACCAAGCTTCTAGGAATGGAAGCCAGAGGTCTCCTTTTGTAGCTAAGGGGTTGGGTAAAGGTGGGTGGGTATTGGCATGCTATGTGCAAGATGTCTTGCTTATGGGTTAGTAAAGCTGGTTGGGGACACCTGACCATGATCGATTTGCATTTGTAGTTTTGCAGCCGCACACTGAGAAAGCAATTGGATCACAACCTCACCTTCCACAAGCTGGTGGCATATATGATCTGCCTGCACACAGGTAACTCAGGCAAACTATGAAACTGCAGACTCCAGGGCATTCAAAGTCTATTTTTATTCATCCATACATACTCATATTCAAAAAATATTTATCGAGCCATCTGACACTATTTGTCAGGCACTATTCTGTGCCTATTTTCATGAAGCTTACATTCTATTCCTTTGGGAACAGAGTAAGTATAAAAAAGATCTTGGATCTCTCTGCAATCAAAGGTTTATTGGGCACCTTCTGTAGACTCAGCATTCTGCTAGGCACTAGATACGTAGGATTCTCCTAGTCTAGTGGGGCATTCCTGCTATGATGTTCTCGATGTGCCTCTTATGTTCCTCTCCATCTTTTCATTTAGCTATTCACATCATAGCACACCTATTTAACTTTCACCGCTACAGCAGAAGCCGACAGGCCACAGATGGATCCCTTGCCTCCATTCTCTCCAGCCTATCTCATCATGAAAAAGAGGAGGGTCCTTGGCTAAATCCCATCCAGTCCCCAGACATGGTGAGTTGACTCAATGGCAAAGCATCTGAGATCTGGTCATGAGCAGGAAGGGCACAGTATCCTTGCTGGGCATTGTGTCAGGCTGACATTTCTCCTCTCACAGACAGTGGAGTATGTGACATTCACCAGCATTGCTGGGCTCACTGGAGTGATCATGACTATAGCCTTGATTCTCATGGTAACTTCAGCTACCAAGTTTATCCGGAGGAGTTATTTTGAGGTCTTCTGGTATACTCATCACCTTTTCATCTTCTATATCCTTGGCTTAGGGATTCATGGCATTGGGTAAGGTCCTCAGACCCTCATTCTCATGCCCCAGCCCCCCCAACCTTGTATAATTCTTTGGCCCAAACTGTCCTTCTTTGTCTGTTTCAGTGGAATTGTCCGGGGTCAAACAGAGGAGAGCATGAATGAGAATCATCCTCACAAGTGTGCAGAGTCTTTTCAGAAGTGGGATGATCATGACTCCCACTGCAGGCGTCCCCGGTTTGAAGGGCACCCCCCTGAGGTAATAAACCTATGAACAAGGACAGACTTGATAGGAGCTGTTACTCTTCTTATTGTTATTATTACTCTTATCATTATTATCATTATTACTAGCTCAGCCCTGTGCTGGGTCCTGTGAAGAGTATCCACAGGGGTCCTCCTTCCTTCAAGGAACTTCCTATGTCACTGGCAACAGGCAATTAGGGGATCTTGAAAAGGAAGAATTAATGGTTGTTGCATGCGTGGGACCCTCTGCAAAGATACTAATGATAGCCC